GCAACGGCATTGCCATAGTAACCAATGCACATTCAGTAAAACGAAAGAGCACTTATGGACACACAAATCAGATATGAACAGTTGCGATACACTGTGTGGACAGTCAGTTATTCAAATCAGATTCCATCCGGATATGCACAAAATCGGATTTGGGCTGACAGTCTGAACGAGGCTAAAGTAGCTCGAAACAGATTTGCAAAAATCTGATTTCATGTAGTTCGTTGCCATTCAGACTATTTAAATATGATCGGATTTCAATCGGATTTGCACAAAAATCGGATTTGGGCTGACAGTCTGAACTAAGCTTAAGTCCCTTTAAGGCAAGCCATATGACTCGGCGGCCATCTTTAAAATGCCTCTAAGGGCATGCAAGTGCAGCTCCTATCACTTTGTATGGGGAAACATCAAATTCTCCCAAACTGTTCACAAAAATCTGACAACAACTGTGTCATAAATGTTAGGTGCATCCCAAATCGCGTACGTATGCACTATTCTATGACGTTTTGTAGTATAAATAGTGCTAGTAGTGCATTCACACTGAAAATTCCAAAAAGAAAAAGTGCACTTTAAATACCCGTATGATGCACTTAAATACCAGAAAAAACGAAGTGTGGAATGTAGGACACTTCATGCACTCAACTGTCACAGCTTTAATTACATAGCGAAGGGGGAGGGGCTATCAGACAAAATAACCTTATATAATTCATACACTACATTAGTGCATTAGTACATAGTGTATGAGTGCACAGTGGACGCAGCTGTTGTTTCTTTTGCTCAAATAGTGTTATAAAAAGCTTATTTCTCAGGCTAGATCAGCCAGTGTGCATGCGCAGTCCTAGGCGCACGTCTCAGAACGCTGCAGTGGCGCGCTGACTTTACCGATTAGCGATTCGCTCTTTCATTCAGAAGGCGGGGCTTTCTGCGATCGAGCGGCCATATTAAGCGTTGCATTTTTCCCCATTCAAAACTATAAGAGTGACACGTCTTGGGTGTTCTACGATCTTTGTTGTGTTGAAGCAACACACCTCTGGCAACCTTAGTGTAATTTACTGTTATTCAAAAGTGAACTAAGCGATTATATGAAATAGCTAAACATTTAAGTAAACATTTTCGAGTGTGACCTCTTTGACCCCACCAATTGTTTTTAAACCAGCAACTAGTGATGGGAGAAACAAAGCTTTTCGAAACATTGAATCAAATGAACCAGTTGCTTCGAAACATGATTTGATGTTTCGAAGCACTTGAAACAGCACACGCTGGTGACACCTGCTGGTGAAAACGTTGTGAAAGCATCAAGAACTCAGACCAAACTTACAAAACAAATGGAAATGTTTTTTTAGAAATACCTTTTTTTTTAAATAAATAATAAACACTTAAATACTATTAAATATTAGTGCTTGTGTTATGTGTTTTATTTAAGCATAATCAAACCCTTAACACACAATTAACTAAATTAATTATTTCATGAATTCATTGATTTAGGTAATTATTTAATTAATTAAGTGTTTTCATTAGAGCTGTCTATAAAAATCAGCAGGCAAGAGAAGTGTTATCAGTCAGGAGAAGGAGGTGGATTTAATTATATGGTAAGCTAATTTTTTTTATTTTTAAGGTATGATGTGATTTGTAGGTTGAAAGTACTGAATGTTTTTACACATTTTTAAACTATATAGCCATCTGTGTTAAAGGGAAGTTATCTTTTGTTTAACCCACAACATCTGGCCCTGAATTCTTTATTTTTTATAGTAAAATTTCATGGGATTTCATGTCACATGATTAGCTGGGTAACCAGAAGTGGTTCATTGGTTCACTTTGAGATCAACACCCCCTAGTGGTGAACCATCGGAGTTTCAAAACGTTTCGAAACAGTGTGACGTAACGAAGCTTTGTTTGATTTCATGTAGTTCGTTGCCATTCAGACTATTTAAATATGATCGGATTTCAATCGGATTTGCACAAAAATCGGATTTGGGCTGACAGTCTGAACTAAGCTTAAGTCCCTTTAAGGCAAGCCATATGACTCGGCGGCCATCTTTAAAATGCCTCTAAGGGCATGCAAGTGCAGCTCCTATCACTTTGTATGGGGAAACATCAAATTCTCCCAAACTGTTCACAAAAATCTGACAACAACTGTGTCATAAATGTTAGGTGCATCCCAAATCGCGTACGTATGCACTATTCTATGACGTTTTGTAGTATAAATAGTGCTAGTAGTGCATTCACACTGAAAATTCCAAAAAGAAAAAGTGCACTTTAAATACCCGTATGATGCACTTAAATACCAGAAAAAACGAAGTGTGGAATGTAGGACACTTCATGCACTCAACTGTCACAGCTTTAATTACATAGCGAAGGGGGAGGGGCTATCAGACAAAATAACCTTATATAATTCATACACTACATGGTTGAGTACATAGTGCATAAGTACATAGTGTATGAGTGCACAGTGGACGCAGCTGTTGTTTCTTTTGCTCAAATAGTGTTATAAAAAGCTTATTTCTCAGGCTAGATCAGCCAGTGTGCATGCGCAGTCCTAGGCGCACGTCTCAGAACGCTGCAGTGGCGCGCTGACTTTACCGATTAGCGATTCGCTCTTTCATTCAGAAGGCGGGGCTTTCTGCGATCGAGCGGCCATATTAAGCGTTGCATTTTTCCCCATTCAAAACTATAAGAGTGACACGTCTTGGGTGTTCTACGATCTTTGTTGTGTTGAAGCAACACACCTCTGGCAACCTTAGTGTAATTTACTGTTATTCAAAAGTGAACTAAGCGATTATATGAAATAGCTAAACATTTAAGTAAACATTTTCAAGTGTGACCTCTTTGACCCCACCAATTGTTTTTAAACCAGCAACTAGTGATGGGAGAAACAAAGCTTTTCGAAACATTGAATCAAATGAACCAGTTGCTTCGAAACATGATTTGATGTTTCGAAGCACTTGAAACAGCACACGCTGGTGACACCTGCTGGTGAAAACGTTGTGAAAGCATCAAGAACTCAGACCAAACTTACAAAACAAATGGAAATGTTTTTTTAGAAATACCTTTTTTTTTAAATAAATAATAAACACTTAAATACTATTAAATATTAGTGCTTGTGTTATGTGTTTTATTTAAGTATAATCAAACCCTTAACACACAATTAACTAAATTAATTATTTCATGAATTCATTGATTTAGGTAATTATTTAATTAAGTGTTTTCATTAGAGCTGTCTATAAAAATCAGCAGGCAAGAGAAGTGTTATCAGTCAGGAGAAGGAGGTGGATTTAATTATATGGTAAGCTAATTTTTTTTATTTTTAAGGTATGATGTGATTTGTAGGTTGAAAGTACTGAATGTTTTTACACATTTTTAAACTATATAGCCATCTGTGTTAAAGGGAAGTTATCTTTTGTTTAACCCACAACATCTGGCCCTGAATTCTTTATAACTAAATTAATTATTTCATGAATTCATTGATTTAGGTAATTATTTAATTAATTAAGTGTTTTCATTAGAGCTGTCTATAAAAATCAGCAGGCAAGAGAAGTGTTATCAGTCAGGAGAAGGAGGTGGATTTAATTATATGGTAAGCTAATTTTTTTTATTTTTAAGGTATGATGTGATTTGTAGGTTGAAAGTACTGAATGTTTTTACACATTTTTAAACTATATAGCCATCTGTGTTAAAGGGAAGTTATCTTTTGTTTAACCCACAACATCTGGCCCTGAATTCTTTATTTTTTATAGTAAAATTTCATGGGATTTCATGTCACATGATTAGCTGGGTAACCAGAAGTGGTTCATTGGTTCACTTTGAGATCAACACCCCCTAGTGGTGAACCATCGGAGTTTCAAAACGTTTCGAAACAGTGTGACGTAACGAAGCTTTGTTTGCTAAAATCAAGTGACCTGGCCGGTTTGATACGCGCTCCGAAACACTGATTCGAAACAAAAGATTCGCAAATGTTTCAAAGCTTCGTGAAGCAGTGTTTCGAACGTGCCCATCACTACCTGGAACAGCATTCTTTTTTATTAACCGGCCACGGCAACATTTAGACTGTCCAATGAAACAGCAGTAAACATCTTGAATAAGACGGCTGCTTGACTTTAAAGTTCCTTTACAGCATTTCCTTTACAGCCCATTTTAATTACATGTCTTATCTTTGTCAGCTCAGTCTCTCTTGTTTTCCTAAAAAACCTCCTCCGTTTAACTGGATGTGATGTCTAACCCTCATTAGGTGATTGTAGCTGTATAAAGAGCGATCATGTGTCATTATTAGACGAGCTTAGAGAAGTACAGTGACAGATCATGCTGAGCAAAGAGCCTCACATACATACACGCACATAAACAGACCTACAGCCAGGCCTTTGCTTGTTTTGAAAGACTCATTTCTTGTTAGCACATCCGTCATTTTCGCAGCATCGTTTTTTTTCCCCCTCTGAACCAAGACCAATTTCAAAACTGGTATTTAAGGTTATGGTTTTAGACAAACTGACCCTAGATGAGGGCAGAAGGACAGCTTCCCTCCAGTGCATTATTTCTCAACTTCAATAGCCCTATGATGAAAGCTAGAAGTGAAAACCGCCGGACCTGTTCTCGACTAGCAGTTAAAAATCCACGTGGGGGAGGGGTGGATACCGCAGGGAAGTGAGCGCGCCTTCATCCGAACTGCGGCTCTCAATATCCCATCTGCATTACAATGAGGTTATGGTTCTTCAGCGAACACAATCATCAAACATCTCTCTCTTGGTATTCTTCTGCTTGCTCTCACACATTCTTCCAGTAAACACACCAATCCAAACATGGCAAGAAAAATTATCCTGTTTAGCAGCAAATTAAGTAGCATCAGGTCATTGCGGAGTAAATCATCACCTCAAGGAGACCGTAAAGGTCAGGATCACCGATGGAGGAGGGTACATGATGCTTGGGAACTTACAGAGCCTTTTTTACAAAACCGACCACTTAAAACCCCCAGGCTCTTCAAAGGCATTTAACTTGAATTGAATGAGTTTTACCTTTTCCCTGATTTAACTCTTCTCGAATCTTCTTCACTGCTGCCAGACCCTCATGTTCTTCATTCCCAGCTGAAGAAAAGAAAAAAAAGATAGAAAAGGACCATATTAAGCATACTAATAAATATCACGCTCTCATATATACAGTATATATATATATATATATGGCCAATGTAGAATGTATATTAGCGAATCAGTAAAAACACAAATGAATATCAAGATAAATCTGCTTTCTAAGTGGATTCCCCTTTATTTGCTCAAGGTGCATTTAGTAGTTTGGTGCCGATTTAAAAAGTTTGAAACATTAAAGGGTAAGTTCACCCAAAAAAGAAAATTCTGTCATTAATTAGGCTACGCACCCAAGTCGTTCCAAACCCGTAAGACCTTCGTTCACCTTCAGAACATGAATTAAGTTTTTTTTTTTTGATGCAATCCGAGAGCTTTCTGACCCTGCATAGACAGCAACGGATCGGACACATTCAAGGCCCAGAAAGGTATTCAGGACATTGTTAAAATAGTCCATGTGACATCAATGGTTCAACTCTAATGTTATGAAGCTACGAGAATACTTTTTGTGCACAAAGAAAACAAAAATTACAACTTTATTCAACAAGTTCCTCAGCTTCCGAGTCAGTCTTCGACCTGTGTTCACGAGAGTACCACGACGCATGCACGTGATGCTGCTGACACAGGAGCCGACATTCTGATGTAGAACATCCTTCTCTCTTAAGTCCGGCACACACCAAGCCGACGGTCGGCCATCAGTGAGCGTCTGTCGGGTTCGTTTGTTTGGTGTCGGGCTCACGTAAACATGTTGAATTGGCATCGGAGCTGTCGGCGCGAGTGAGAACTCTGATTGAATGTTCAGTTTAGCGAACGAGTCAGTGCCTGAGAATTAAAGTGAAAGTGATGAAACGGAGTAAATGCATGCAGCACAATTAGAGGGCTGTTCTAATGTTACTGTATGTGATCTTACCCAAGCATTCCGATATGCAAATATTTTCATAACATGAGCCACTTAAAATGATGAAAGTTATCAACATAACTAATATTCAAAATGGTAGGAAAGCGCTGCTTTGTTTACGTTTTGTATATCTGTGTATATCTCTTATATCCTTGTTTCCATTTCTTCTTTTTAGGGATGCACCGATACTGAGCTCTTGTACTCGTACTCCTTAAAATGCCCCGATACCAAACGCCGATACCACACAGCATGTGATAAGTGCCATATTCAGACAAAGAAACACCAACAACAGAACAACAGACAGCAGAATGGAGTTATTAGAGATTAAGGATGTCTACGAAGTATATGTATGCAATGAATATAATGTTAAACATTCAGTATTAACGCCTGTATAGCTGATGTGCGCGAGCTGATAAGCAATATCTGAGTGGATTGAGCGCGCGGCGGCGCAGATGCTCGAGCTTGTCGAGTGAATATGCCTTTCTCACAGACATCACTGGAATGCTTGTAGTTCGGTCGGATATGTCAAAAACAAGTAAGGAAAACAATGCACAAGTTACTTAACGGTAGGGAGAGAGAGAGAGAGAGAGAGAGAGAGAGAGAGAGAGAGAGAGAGA